AAAAAGCAAATATAAAAATATATCAAAATTAAAAAATATTTAATTTTGTATCTAAATTTAAAAACTATACACATATTTAATATATATTTTTTCTATTCACATTTAGCTAACTATGTTCCACTAATTTTTTTAACAGTGTTTAGATGTTGATCTCTACATTAGTGGTGGTAATGTAACTATACTTGCTCCACATTTCAGACATCATAGTAATGAAGAATGAAGAAGATCTAAGAATGTTGGTAAGAAAAAAACATTGGGAATGTGTGATGAAGCTTAAGAAACGTAACGAAAATGCAACGTAAGATCTTGAAAATAGCAATACCGACAAAACGAGCGTGTCTTTCTCGAGTTTTGCAAGGTTGGCAGTAATATCTCTGTGTCTGACTTTCGTTGTTCCATTTTTCTAAGTACACAGAGTCTGCATTCATTTTCATTGGACACTGCCCGAAACATTGATGGCTTGTTTTTGAATGAATTTGAGCGAGTATATTTTAAGAGATTTGATGATAATTTTTTTTATTGTTTATTTAAGTAAATTTAAAGATAAATGAAGTGAATTTAAAAATATTTTTTTTAATTTGTCACGTTAATATAATTTTATATTAATTTTTATAAATTTTATTTTTAAATTCATTCGCATTTATCTTCAAATTAACTCAAATAAACGACAAAAAAATTTATGTTCAAATCCTCCAAATCTCTTTAAATCTACTTCCTCAAATCCACTCAAAAGTAATTACGTATATGGACGAGTCATTTTCTTCGTAACTCTCAAGACTTTATATGGACGGAGGATATTTGCTTTTTAATCATGTTGCTCTTCGTTCAAAGTATTTCTGGATTTTACTTATAATTACTTTTCATAAAAAACTTTAAATATTTGCTTTTGTTTTGCATGCCCACATAACATATCATTTTAAAGTAAGGATTTTAAGAATAGAATAATATTTGTTGTCTTAAAATGGTTTAGTTAAGTGATAGTTAAATAAAAAATTATCCAAGTATGAGTTTTTTAAACATAATTGCATTCTATTTTTAAAAAACTCTTGTAAAAAATACCCTTTTTTTCATTTATATGTAATTTCTTAAGGTAACTTTAGTTATTATTTTCTCATTCATATCTTTATTTTTTATGACCTTTAATTAATTACGTATATGCAACTATTAGGGAAAAATGGTGGAATAAAAAATTCTACATTTATTTTACTAAAATCAATGAAATTTATTGAACTTTTTAGTTTTTCCAATAAAAGCCGTAAATAATATTTAAAGACAGAGAAAGTCTTCAAAATACAGAAAAGAAGCATGATACAAGCATTTCAGTAAGAAACAAAAGTGTAGTCAATTTGTCATGAAACACACAAGATTCAACAAAAGTGCAATTTATTCCTCAGATCTTGAACTCAATAAATGCCATGAAAACATGAGATGTATGTATTTTGCTACAGTTGATTCATGTCGGTGCCACCAAATAATTATCTTCTGATTCCACGTGCATAGTTTGACTGAAAATTTTAAAAAGTAAAAAAAAATAAAATAGCTTTAAGAATTAAAAGTTTTAAATTAAAATTTTGAGAAATAATATATATATATATATATATATATATATATATATATATTTATATATATATATATATATATTTAAAATATTTACAAACTATAATTTGAGTAAAACCCAAGAAAAGAAAATGGTATTTTAGAAGTGATGGTAGTTTAAAAATAGTGATACTCAATTATTTTAATATTAAATGGTTTATTTATAAATAATTTTGTTATAAACGAGTTTCATTATTTTAAAACGTATAATCTCTATAAATCATTTTTCTAGAGTTTTCTACTTTCGCTCTAAGAGTTTTAATTCTTGAGTCATTTCTTTGACGATTAGGAGGAGTCTAATCGATCACGACAATGAGGTCTACGTTTCTACCCAATCAGTTTCTTCAATATAGCAAGTAAGTTTCGGTTCCTTTTCTTCTTTTCGTTCTTAATTAAGATCACGCTTAATGATCTCTTGTCGCATGTGAGTTGTGGTGTCTTTTCCTAGTTTCCTGTCGATCAAAGGTCCTAAGGACTCTCTCTAATTTCTGTTCGGTATTTTGTAGACGTTTCTAGAGTTCCTTGAGCTCTAAGCAAGGGTTTGGTGTTTATAGAGTTTTGTTGCTTCGACGTAAGGTAAGAGAAGTTAATGTTTTATCTTAATTAAATTATGTTGTATGAATTGCTATCTAATGGTGTGTACAACTAAGGTATGTTGTTGGTTGTGTTAAAGATGATTGTTATTAAATAGTGAGTGTTTGAAAGGATAAAAGTTGGTTGAATGATGTAGTGTACCTTGCTGTTTTTGTTTGGAATTGATTAATTTCATGAATGCTTTTGTTGAAATGCTTGATGGTATCACTTTGGTTAGGAAGTTAAGGAGAAGTGATTTGGACTAAGTTATAAGTCATTTTTTTATAGTAAAAATGAAGGTTTGATAGGTGAATTTTAGAATTACCAGTCTAAGGTGAGAATTGGTAGTCAGGACATGTTATTTTGGTCATTTGAAACTTGTTAGACTTTTAATTGAGTAAAAATCTGATGTTGAATTAGTAAATCTGCAAACAGGTTATGTCCTAGTTGTTTTTGTCAATTTTAGAGGTTTTGAGTAGTGAGTTTTCAGAGTAAGTGAGTTGAGATCAAGTGGAGTGTTTGGGGTTTGCTATTGGGTCATTTGTGACTTGTTCATACCCTTAAGGTTCTTAATTATGAGCTAGAACTGGTGAAGTTTAATTTTGGTCTCTAAAGTGAGGTTTTGATAAATTTTAGATTGAAATCTTGTGGTCAATTATTTTAAAACGAGTTTAGGTTAGTTTAGATATGTTTGGGTAGGTCAATTTTAGTTTAAAATATAATCTAGGGATGTTAGAAGTTGGAAAAGATGAATAGGATAGGCCGTGAGGGGGTTGAGGGGTGCAAATTCTACAGATTTGATGTTGTAGAATTATGTAGTCTCGCTAAGCGAATGTGTGTCCGCTGAGCAAGCAAAACACTTCTAGTGGAGCAAGAGTTGTCGTTGAGTGAGAGGTGAGCAAGCAGAGCCCACTATTTCTGTTTTCGCTTGGGGCTAAGCTAGTGGGCTGACAAACACTTTTAGCTGAGTGAACAGATTTGGTAGCTGAATGAAAATATCAGATTTTCAACTAAGTTTTTATATATTTTCTTAAAGTGTGTTCAATGTATGTGATTGTATGAATGATTAGTTTATAATACTTATTGTGAAGTATGAATTGATTTATAGTATGAAATGGGAAACAAGAATGTGTGTACGATTTCAAATGGATTCAATGTAAAAGTGAAGTAATATCAATGGTTTCAAAGTTATGGAAGTTAGTTCCAAGGTTAAACTTCTTAGTGTTGTTCAAGTCTTATTAGAATGAATGCAGGTAGTTCAGTCTTGGGGGTTTATCCTGAAACTCTAATGGTCTTTCATTCTCAAGTAGAGAAGATTGACACATGTGGTGAGAGTAGTAGGAGGTTTTGGTCTTGGGTGCTTCTAGTATGATCCAAGGCGTGGAATAGACTAACCTTGTGAGTGTGGTAGGGTGAAATCCATTGGCAATGACTTTGCAAAGCAGTAGAGGTCACCATAAGTGCACAACCCGCCATAACTCATGTTAAGATGTTTGGGTTGATGTATGTTATATGTGATTCATGGTTGCTATGTTTTAAATATTATACGATTTGTTTTGTATCACTAGCTTATCCTTGCTTTTGTGTTGTTTGACTGTCTATTGTTTTCTCTTTGCAATGATGACCTTAATGGGGCGAGCTTAAAGATACCGTCTTTTCAGTTGTCTTAATGATGATAGATTTTTTTGTTCTCCAGATGAAAAATTTTTCTCATCACAAATATGTAGTTCTTGTTCTATCATCATATATGTAATGTTTATTTTAGTAGTTTTATATTATCAAAATGAGATATTAAATTTGTCTCCTTAAAAAAAAATCCATTAGTGTAATATATTATTACATGTTTTGTAGTGTAGTCATAACACAAAGAAGGAAAACAGTTATTCGTTTTTCACAATTGGAAAATTTTAGAATAAGTGTTTTTTGGACTAGTTTATTTCTGTTACACATTTTATTTTGATGTATTTATTTAATTCGTTTATTTTAATTAATTAATTCGTTTATTTTAAATTTTATACTTCAAAACTATTTATTGTAAATTTAAATAAATCATCGTATTAACTACTTACCAATTTCGTTCAACATTAATATCTAAAAAACTATTGATCATATTTACTATCATGTTTTTTTCTCAATTAAAATTAGTGTTTACCGTTAAAGTATTTTAATGAACAAAAAATGACATGGTTTAAAATAAATGTTAATTACTACACAGTTTTCAATAACATGTTAATTATTCTTTTTATTCTTAAAATTAAGCATGTTAATAGAACTGTTGTAACGATTTATTAACATCTTTATAACAGACAGTGTAAACATATGTATTTATAATAAAAATAACAAATTTATTATTATTATACTTATAAAAGTCAAAATATAATTTTTTACTATTTTATTGTAGATAGTTTCTAAATTTAAAAGAAAATCAAATTGAAAAAAAATTAATTTCAAAAACGTATGTGCAAAAACTAAAATTGATTATATATTTATTATAATTTAAAAAAATTAAATTGTTTAAAAAGTAGAATAGAAAATAAAATGAGTACAATCTAAATGATGATATTAATAACAAAACGGAGATTTTAATGGATTTTATTAATCTTTTAAATTTATAACCATACATTCAAGGAAACCATTCATAATCTAATCGATTTGGGAAGAATTCCTTAAATGAAACTCGATCTGCCATATTTAAAAATAAAGAAATTATTTAAATTGGAAAGTATCGAACATTTACTATTTATCAAACATTCTTAATTTAAATAAAAAAAATAATCTAGCCAATATTTCATCAATTGCACTTTTATTTTTTATGCTTCTTTTCACACAATCATTTATATTTTATTCTCTTCCAGCAATTTTGTTCGGATAAAAAACGTCTATAAACTTGAAAGATTGCTTTTTTGGTATACTTTTCTGTTTTTTGTGTGTGATTTTTGTCCTACGGGAGAAGTTGTACCAAAAAAAATCAAAATAGTGCCATAATTGGTACTATTAGAAAATCCCTTTGAAGTGTATAATAATCTACCAAATGATATTTCAGACGTTATTGATCTGAAAAGTATAACCAGCTTCTGCAAAATGAGATTTGACCAATGCAAGAGATTTGGAGCGGTGGGAAATTTTGTTCTTTTCTTCTTTGGGCATTTCTGCATAGCTACAAAGTGTAAATGGGAAGAATTAGGTTTTGCAAGAAACTATGAAACGTTTGAACGAAAAATGGCATGAAAGATTGAAATACGTTTGATCATAGCCTTCAGGTTCAAAAATAGGATCCCATCCAAAATCATTAGGCCCTCTCGGAGGAACAATCTTCCCCTAACCATGCACCAAAAAAGTAGTTACAGTCATACATCAACCATACTCAGATACCTAATTTGTACAATTTCTTCTCTCTCTTTCTTGCACATAATATGTCATAATAATCAAGGAAATAAACATAAAAAATGATGTATAAACTATAGTATATAGTGCATAGTGCATCAATTGTCTTGTGCCATAACTCACTTAATCAAGTCACAATTGAATTATAGCTTTTAAGTTGTTATGTTCTGAAGTATAAAAAGTTGTGTCCTAACTGTAGCTATAGCTTTTGTCCTAACGATAAGGATTTGATTCAATAATGAGACAATTGTTAAGGGAGAAATTGTTACAAGTTATATCAATTATCCTTTAATATAGGTCAGGTGAGAAAGTTACAATCGAATTATTCAATTCCTAAAACAACAATTGTTGAGGGTATACATATCATATCAACCACTTTCTATTGTTGAGTAAGTTACAGTCTAAGTGAATTGATCATCATAAGTGAAACTCGTTGAATAAGTAAGAACCATTCACTAAATAATGAAGAATGTATAGGAAAGGGGAAACCTGTGTTTTTATTCGTTGTAATGTTCATCAAACTTGGTTTTGGTAAATTATGTACTTTCAAATTGATGAATTAGTATTCAGACTCAACAAAATATGTATTTTAGTCAACTTTGTTCTAGTGGCAAAAAACATTAAATTTAAGCACCTTCAAAGGAATTAACTTCACATATTTTTAAGAGTTTGAAAGACTAATTCATCAATTTAAAAGTATATGGACTAAAATCAAGTTTAACAAAAATTATCAGATTAAAAATATATTTTTTCCTAAAGAAGTGTTGAAGAAAGTGGTGCTAGCATTTTTCAATTTGGAAAAGTAGATTATCCTAGAATTTGAATCACTTAGTAACCAGATGTAAATAAGAAGATTCATATTATTACAACCCCAATATTAAATTGGCAAAGAAAATATATGAATTTGTAATTATGTATAAAGGGATTCAAAGAGATACCGGAGTTTTTCCAGAAAATGTGATAGGTTCACTATCTGGACCTGCCGCAAAGGAAAATACACATAAGGCAAATGCTGATTTATCATCATATGCCATCAGCAAATTGTTGAGACCTGGAAAATGAACAAGAGGAATGAGTAAATCAAATTTTGTGGGATATCCTTATTCCTGAAAACATGTACTGAAAAATTGAAAACTTATCCAAAATTATGCAGTTTAGTTACAACCTTCATGGCCAATCTTCTGCAGAAACCATTTGCTGCATGATACATCAATGAAATTAGACAATATCATTATGAAGTACTGATCATGATCTAAAAAATCTCACTTGCTAAATGCTAATGACCCGAAATTGTGTAGACACTAAAGCGTAAAAGAATTCAGACGAATATTTTGTTAGGAGTATAAGAGGAGAGAAGTAAGGGCCGAACGGTAAGAGGAGAGAAGTAATGGCCGAACGGTAAGAGGAGAGAAGGGCCGAACGGTAAAAGGAGAGAAGTAAGGGCCGAACGGTAAGAGGAAAGAAGTAAGGGCCGAACGGTGATAGGAGAGAAGTAAGGGCCAAAGGGTAAGAGGAGAGAAGTAAGAGCCAAATAGTATAATATTACCGAACGGAGGCCGGAAGAGAGGAGGAGGCGAATGACCGAACGGTATTAGAGAAGTGAGTAGCCGAACAGTATAGAAAGTTGGTGGCCGAACGGTGTTAGGGAAAGTAGAAACCGAACGGTAGAATTTGAGGAGTGAGCAGAAACCGAACGGTAGAATTTGAGGAGTGAGCAGAAACCGAACGGTAGAGGCGGGAAAATATGTTAGGTTGTTAGAAGAGAGAGAGATAGTATAAATAATAAACAGAATGAGGGGAAAGGGAGGATGGAATATTTTGTTTTGGGATTAGACTGGACTTCTTGGCCAGTGGAGGAAAGAAGGCTTCCTTGGGAACATTTACTTGTATTTTCTTTTCTTCTTTCTTTACACTACAGATTGAATAAAAATACAGTATAGTTTGTGCTGTTGAGTGTGTGAGTGAGAAGAGAGTTTACGATTTAGGTTTCCTGAGTAAAGAAACCTAACATATTTCTATATTCAATATTCAATGACAATGACCTACATGGATGAGAATATTACATAAATATTAAAAGGAAATGCAAAATTGAATATTACATTCAATATTCAATGACAATGACCTACATTCTAAGGGAAGTCATTGAAGATGAGTACGAAGTTTCAACCCTATCAGATAGAAAATGCTCAAATCAAAATCCATAGAGAGGAAGCCAAGAAAATCAAAAGCAAGAACAACCCTGTTTGCCAGCAGTATCATTAATTTTGTTGACCAGAATAATGACACTGAAAACATCCAAGAGTACAATCACTTCCAATGAAAAGGATGCAAGTGCTGAACTTGACCCAGGAATTTGAGATGCAGAGAATGAAGGAATCAGAAACAATTAAGGAATAATCCAACAAGCTTCTCGGCATAGTCAATTGCAGGGGATTCATCAAGCATTACTGGCAGAATTGTTGAATGAACTACAGACACAAAAACTAAGGAGGCAACAAATATTTGTAAAAGGAGCTTGCTATGCCAACAACTACAAATGTTATGAATAGAACCAAAACAACAATACATGTGTCTTTTCACCTTGTCCACATTGCGAGAGAAATAGTCACCCATGCAACAAGTGTTATCTGAGGCCAAATATGAAATTCCACAAGTGTGGTCAAGTGGGAAATATGAAAAAGATATACAAGTCTCAACAATAACAAGAAGTTGTCAAGGTGAGAGGAACTGGGAATCTCACATCAAGTAGTATAATGTTTGGTTCTTCTCCCTTAATATTATCTTTTGAGGGTGGGTTCCCATGTACTTGGGTACTTATCAATTGGTATTATAGTAAGTTGTCAGTCTATGATCAGTGGAGGAAATGTGCGTTCGGGTAAGATGCTTTTGGGTGGGTCTAAGTGATATGTTGAAATTTAAGTTTGTGAACTAAGAAAGGATGCAAGCAATATTATTAGCTATTAATGAGGAGAAACAAACACTTAAATACTCCACCAATACTATTTGATGGGGGACTTGGGCATCCATAATACCAAAGTTCCTATAAAGCATTGGCCTTAAGAGCCAACGTCTTGACAACTTTCACACTATGACACTTTACTCGATAACACCTCACTCAAAACCCTCATGCATCAACACCCTCCACCAATCGTAGGAAGCTCTTTTCTAGACATTGATTACCAGCTCTAATACTAATTGATAAGTACCCAAGCACTTGAGGAACCCACCCTCAATAGCCAATATTAAGGAGGGAGAACTAAACACTTAAATACTCCACCAAGCATCCTATCACAAGGTTGCAAAGGATTAACTAGATTTGCAATATCATGCTTTACAACCAATAACTCCACAAAAAGGTTAACTTATAGGTAGTGGTTGTACAAACCGTGTGCTCATGATTAAGAGCTCTTCAAAGAGCTCAACACATATGTCATTTCGAAAGTAAGAATTGGAAATGGAGAACTTATTGCTATGAAAGTTATATGAACAGCTACAATTAACCGTCACCCAGGTTTGATTTTAATTTTTGATGTCCCATATGTTCATGAGATTATTCAAATTTTGTTGCTCAATTATTAGAGAAAGGTTATGTTAGATGGTAAGTTGTGTGTTTATGTTAATTGGGCTCAGCCCATTCTATATTTAGGGTTATAAATAAACTACCTTATGTGTATGCTAAACACATAGGGAGATTTCTCCTAATCTTCTCTACTATTTCATATGGTATCTAGAGCTTAGGTTTTGTTCCAGCCAGTTTCACAGTCTCCGGTACCAATCGTTGCCGCAATCGTCGCCGCCGCCGTCGGAGTTCCAGAATCGACCGACAACCATACCATTCGGATCTTCTCGGCCGGGCGACCACCGTGGTGCAAAGATCGCGGCGAACAGACCATCCACGCGCCTCCACGCGCCACCGCAACAGTCACCAGATCCGCCGCTTCCCGCAGCGCGTGCCGGCACGTCGCCGGCGAGATCCGCAGCCGACCAGGATCGTTGTGATTGCCTCCTCGTCCTCTTTCTGGATCTGTTGTCGTTGCGTCAATCGGAGCACTTTGGATTTTTATGGTTTCTTCCTCTCCATGGCTGCCCAACGTGATGATCGGAGTCGGTCTCGCCAGCCAGGTAAAGGACGTCCAAAATGTGACCACTTTGGCAAGCTAGGCCACAAAATTGATAGATGTTATGCGCTTCATGGACGTCCTCCTTGACCTATAGCAATGGCTAATTCTGATCCACCTCCCCGATCACCGTCTGCAGACTATCCTACTTCATCAAATACCATAAACAACCTTGCACTCTTTCAAGAATTTCTCAGATGGTATGAGGACCGTCAGCACTCTAGTTCCACTACCCTATGTGTATGCTAAACACATAAGGGAGATTTCTCCTAATCTTCTCTACTATTTCATAGGTTATACCATTATTTGAACACAAACTTTGCATGGTTAAAGAAGTGAGCATATGTTAGGAAGTTAAAGGTATATGTAAGAAGAAATAAAAGAGGAGAGAATTAAATAGCAGGAAAAGTGGTTAGTTTGTTAGTGGAGAGAGAGAGTATAAATAAAGCTGAGTTGGCTGAGGAGGGGGATATGAGATATTACTTTTGGGTATAGACTGGATATTTGTCCAGTGGAGGAAGGGAGGCTTCCTTGGGGGTGCATACTTGTATTTTTCTATACTTTACAGGGTTAATAATACGTATACATATACATTCATTTCTGTTGATTGAGTGTTGAGGTAAGGAGAGTGTTATAGATCTGGTTTCTTGAATAAATAAACCTATCAGCATACCAGGACCTGGATCCTATGGAGGAAAAATTGCTTACGGTGGTGGTTTTGCAGTATAAAATGATAAAATATAGATGTGTTGAAAAAATGTGAGGATACAACAAACACCAATATCCCCCTTAATGAAGATTAAAGAAAAACCCTAAAAAAGAAGGTTCAAGACTATTAAAGAGGATATAGAGAAAATCAAGCTCCATATACCTAAAAATAAGGATCATGCACAATGGCAGACTAGAATCCCTAGAGTCAACACAATGAAATATACTTGGTACTTCATTAGAGAATAATGGTGGGGAGAAGTCACCAAATTACTGGACAGAAAACAGGGTTTAAGGATCTATGCTGCCCAAAGCCCAAAGGACCCAATTTCCCCCAAATCACAAGATCATTTTGTGTCACTAACGCTCTCTCAACCTACCTTCTTATTTCAAACTGTCTCACCACAAGAAGTACGGAACTATGCGCTTGATGCCCCCGTGGAAATTGGGTCCAAAAAAAGGGAGCAACGTAGTAAGTTCAGGCACCACATTCAAAAGCCCAAACCTGAACAAAGGCACGAGGACAACCATGAAGAAGAGCATGAGGAAAAACCATTCTTTCACTGGTGAAAAGAGAAGAGAGTGAGCATAACGTGGTGATTATTGAAGAGAATAATAATAATAATAAAATTAATAGTGAAGGTGTTGCGGAGCAAGAGATCAGTGGTATTGAAACAGTAAAGGTGGCGGATGTGGCCACCGAGAACCAAGGGGAGCAAAGGGGGCTTGCATTTTGTGTTACACCTGCAGAGGGGAGAGAGCTGCTTGAAGCACTGAAAAATATTAAAGATCGCTTTCTTAGGGCCTACGATTTTGGAAAGGTGGTGACCAGAATGTTGGACATTAATAGAATCCAGGAAGAATGGAAGACATGGGAGGAGGATTTGCCACCACCCAAGCCTCCAAACCTGAAGTTGCAGGTATTAGCCAGCGGTTTCCCTTCCTATGCTAAGACCATATCACAATGCCATGGGCTCAAGCTTCATTGTTCCAACCTTGAGGACAAGGTTGTTTTGGAGAGGGGTGTAATGATAGGATATAAGACAGGGGGACGTGGACCGAACGGTTAAGGGAATGGAGGGTGAAGGACCGAACAGTATGTTGGGTAGTTAGAAGGGGTTGCCTCTATAAGAAGGCCAAGGGGGTCTAGTAGAAAGTTAGTTAGTGATATTCTTTTGTATAAATAGGTCGTGGACCTTGTGAGGGGGATTAGGCCTCAGTTAGTGTTTTTTGTGTACATTGTTTTCGTATCAATACAGAAATCATTCTTTTTACGGTTGAGTTCTTGATTGTGTGTGTGTGAGAGATTGTCTGAGTTAGGTTCCATACCCAGAAACCTAACATTTTCCTACCATAGTTTCAACCTATTTTAAGAAACGATCTGCTTCTTGTACTTTTCTTCATCAGTTTCATGCTAAAAAGCTACAATATAAATGAATAAAAGTAATATGAGGGCTTGAACAAATTATGACAACAAAAGGGGGTGAAGTTCACTGAGTACAATGGTTAAGGGTGAAAATGAACTTACATGTAAGGCCCTGAAAAAGTGTAAAACAGTCAATCAAAATCAGTCAGGTTGTATAATAATGCCAGCTTTCGTTGCATAAAAAAAGCACAAAATAATATCCACCTGGAAGACCCTTCAAGGCATTGAAGCAGAGACAAGTGTCTTCAACTAACACAGGTCCATTCACCTAAGCATACACCGTAAAAAAAAAGTATAAAAACAATAAAAAGCAGAAAGACAACCTAAAATCACACAAGGCCAAGCATATTTGAGAAAAAATTATAACAAGGTACCTGAAGGGCAGCCATTCGAGCCTTCTCTTTAGAGATATCTTCAGGCTCTCCTTGCAACTCGGGCACTTGATATAAAAAGCATGGAAAAACAAACTCTAAGAAGAATTATCAGCAAGAAAGGCAACTGAACACAAAATAATTGTCCCTTTGATTCACTTCTCACGTATCAATTCTAAAAGTTGTTTTTCTAAAACAATTTCACACCACTGACCAATCAAATTCTTAGTAAAAAATGAATAATGTTTTGAAAATTGTTTTCAAAACAAGTGTTTCAAAACCAAAAAAGTAGAAGCAGTTAAAAGATGTTTTCTTTCTCATTTCTTTTTTTCTTCTCCCACTTGTATCTTGCTCTGTGTTTTCCGCACTCTGTTATACCCCTTGCTCCATCCAACACACTAGTGGTTCGAGAAACTTTCTTTAGTTGCATTTTTCAATCCTAAAAACAGCCTTTGAAATTAGAAATCAAAACACACCCTAAACGTCTCAACAAAATAGACAACATAGACAAGTAGAGGGAAAGAATAAACAACTCAAGATGAAAAAGTAATTTAAAAGGAAAAGGGGAAGAATGATTATTATTATTACAATCAATTTTGAACGACTGGAAAGGAATGGAATTCCCCAAGATGGCACGAACTTCTTCAAGCTTTTTGGCATTTCCAGTCACAAAAGTAACAGGACGTGACAGGACCAATCCTCTTGCAGCAGCCATTTCCCAAATCCCGTTTGATTTTTCTGGAATAAAATCACTAAACAGTGAGAAAATCAGAGAGACCCATTACAGAAAAAACATTTCTTTTCCAATTTTTCTAGATGGGCATGACAAAAGTGAAGTAGAACTCAAGCTTATCAATGGATACAAATGCAAAAACAATCACAAGAAAAGAAAAAAAAAACTTTTGGTAGCTTTTTGTTCTACTTTTGCAAAGCATATGGGTAATGAGTAGGCAAAGGAGGAAAAAAAAGGAGAAGTATAAGGTCAAAGAAATTGCATACTGTCGAGTCGACTTCCCACAACCGCGGCCGCACCGAAGACTGCTGCCTCAAGGCACAATTTATTTATATATATATATAAATCAAATTTATTCAATTGATTTAATTTCGTTTCTTTATTTTTTTTAGTTTTGTTGAAATAGCTTATAAATCTATGTAATCATTAAGTTTAAGTTTAAGCTAGGAAGTTGAGTACTAGATAACTTCTGATCCTACTTCTTTGTCAAAGTAGTTTAGGATAGAGCTCTTTACCTTTAGTCTTTTTATTGTATAAACATATGACACCCTCTTTAACGGTGTTATTATGAAACCAACTATAATGACTTAATTGTTTTAATTTTTAAAAAATAAAGACTCAATTGAGATAAAAAAAAAGTGGGAGACCTAATTGAGAAAAGTCACAAAAAATAAAAACTATCGGAATGATTTAACCTTTTTATTTTACTAACCCCAAGAACCTATGAGAAAATTGGGGACCTAAATTCTTACTCACTTGTTTTATGGGAACTATCAAAACCCAAAAAGTCTATATAACGGGTGACAAGATAAGGTTCATAAATTTTTAGAAAAAGAAGCAACTTATGGGGAAAACAACAAAAGAAAAATTATTGGGACTCAAGATATTAAAGGAGGAAACACTTTGACCATCATGAATGTTTTATATATAGAAAGGATTAGAGCACAACCTCTTAAGCATAAAGATTCATTTGAAATTGCATTAAAAGGAATTAAGCATAACAACATTTATTTGATTGACTTTGAGAGTGTATTTAGCCATAACATAACATGTTTAATCGCAAAGGATGAGAACCCTTGGTTATAGCAAAAAAGGGCTGCACACATTCATCATGGTTGGAGTACGTCGGATGATAATGGCAATGTTGATGTGAAAATAGTGTTGTGACTAGTATCGCGCAGCGGAAAGGGTTTATAAAGAGCATGTTACGGTAAAAAACCAAGAAGGGAGGGGTGAATTGGTTCTTTTAAAAATTGTGATTTTCTTTTAGAACTTTTATCAAACAGTTGATAAACTAAAAGTGTTCTATCACAAGAGATAGAGAAAATCACACAATGTATTTTATCCTGGTTCGAATCAAAAGATTTTACGTCCAATCGATAATCAATTATTTGCGCAAGCAACTCTTTTCTAAATTGGCTCGTGATAATCGATTATGATAATCGATTATCTGCCCAAAGATTCACTAAATACAATTAATCCTATACAATTGTTTCTACAAAATGCTTTTAATATAGATGCACCAAGAGTTTTCAATTCTTTAGCTTTTAACATCATCAAAACTTCATAGTAGCTTCAAGATAGATACCAATGCTCCTCATTGGTAACAATATCACTCTTTTTGATGATGATAAAAAATCTCTTATTTAAAAGCATTTCTAATTTCTTGCATGGATTCAGACTTACAAACACACAAACATGATAGTAATAACCGTACAAAAAGTTCAAAAATAAAGACTCCCCCTCAAATGGTTCTCCCTCTCAACAAAAGAATTGATTTAATTCAAAATAGAATAAAATTTGAAATTTCATAAAATGAAAGGCAAATACATCATGAAAGAAATAAATTCAACTCTAAACAAAGATTATAATAGAAAGGAGGGGTTGGACGATAACCAAGGGGTTGAAGGTTTAGACGATGTTGCCCAGCCTAGTGTCAAAATCCTCAAATCTCTCACATACATAGTCATGATGAGTTTAATGTTTGCCATGAGTTCATCAAACCTTGCTTGATGAGCTAAACGCATATCTTTCATTTGCTTTAAGAGGTTTGCAAAATACTCTTCCATGGAAAATGATGAAGACGAAAGAATAGTTGAGGGACCTGTTGCCAATGGAGCAGCTTCACATACAGGTTCTGCCATGTGAGGATCCATATCATCATCTTCATCTTCTTGATTTTTTTCGTCTTTATGAAGAAATACATTTCCACGTGCTACAAAGCTCATTTAGCGTAAAGTAGTTTCACCAATTTCTATATCGATAGACTGAATAGCTTGAGTATGCTCACATTCGACATTAACTCCTTTGAATTCAATGATGTGATAAATAAGGAGAGCATAAGGGAGATGATAGGCTGAAAATTTATGTGCCTTTAACATAATATCAGTGATGAAAGAAGGCCAATCAATGTGGATATGGTTCAAGAGACCATAGATGACCAGAAGATCTTGCTCAGAACATTGAGCATGATTGGTGGCACTAGAATCCAAACTATTAGGTAATGGATCATCCTTTCCTCTACTTTGAAACATTCCACCAATAGTTGTTGTCGGTTTGATTACTGTTGAGGATTTCTCAAAAAAGACTGGAAGGCAAGAAGACGATTGAACTCTGGAACTCCAAGATATACTTTCACTGCATCATCCTAGATGGTGAGCATAACTACATTGGTCCAAATGTCGTCATCAAGAATGATGACACGATATGCTCTAGTTTGTGGGTACTAGTAGTGTTTGTTAGAGCCAAACTCTTTTCCTTTTGGGGGAAGGCTGGAGGATGAGTGTTTTCAAGCAATGCGCACACACATATCTCAACAGAAATACTATCAGTTATTTAAAAAATTGACCAAAAATGTATGATAATAAATTACTCAAAATGTAATGATTTCCCTTTCTATGTTTTTTTTTGGTGAAATGAAAATGATAAAACTTTTTGAGAAATATTTTTTTTTATATTTTCCTCTTTTCGCATTAGTTTATTTTTTTTCCAAGAAATTGAATTTGAAGATGTTAGCAAAAATCAAAGATGAAGTTTTGATGATGAACAGATTTGCACAAGTCAAGATCTATAAAGACAAATTGAAGATCTTTGTATTTTATAAAGCTTTTATAATAATCAAAGTTGATGTAATAGTGCTCAAATATGTATTAGGGTTGATTCTTGTAATTTATATTTGATTTATTTAGTTAATCGATTATTCCTGAGAATAATCAATTAACACTAGCCGTTGGGGGTTTCAGATTTGAAAAACTAGCCGTTGGGGGTTTCAGATTTGAAAAACTAGCCGTTGTACTCATTATTAATCGATTAATATTTATGTTAATCGATTAAATGCGTTAGATGGCCCGTTTTCGAAGAATGGAAGGGTATTAGGCTGAGTCTATAAAATGGCTCACTCTTTATCTCAAAAATAACTCTTCCCTTGTGCAAAAGATCTCTGAACTCTTTGAGAACTCTGTGAGATTGTTGAAGCTAAGGAAACTCTTGTCTGCAAAGTCCTGAAGTGCTACTGCGGTGACAGAGGAATAGCTTGTTCATCCTTGGTGTGTCCGAGGAAGTGCGTGGAAGAGAATCATCCTTCGTGAAGCATTCGAAGGAGGTGGTCATCCTTTGTGAAGATTCAAAGGAAGTGTAAGTTCGTCTCTTGTGGTTTCAAGAGAGGTGGTATCATCCTTTGTGAAGATTCAAAGGAAGTGTAAGTTCATCTCTTGTGGTTTCAAGAGAGGTGGTATTTCTAAACTCTTACAAATTGTTTTTCTTTGTGACTAATATTTGTAAGTGTTTTGTGTTAGTGAAAAAGGTTTATCTTGTTTGAGATAAGCGACTGGACGTAGGATCCTAGTGATCTGAACCAGGATAAAATCACCTGTGTAATTTTTCTCTTTCCCTTACTCTGTCATTTATATTTAATCATTCGCCCAGTAAGAAAAATTAAGAGAAAAATAATAAAAGGCACAATAAAAGTATATAACCAATTCCCCCCCCTCTTGGTTTGTTCCACGCTAATAATTCCGTTGCAGCGATTCTAACAATTGGTATCAGAGCTTGCTTTGATAGTCATTCAAATGGCAGGATCACATCAAACCTTTGCAGAGGGTGCATCAATCAATAGACCCCCACTATTCACAGGTGAGAACTATGCATTCTGGAAGGTAAGAATGCAAATATTTATTGAATCTATTGATTGTGAAATTTGGGATGTTATTGCGTCTGGCTCTTCTGTTCCTACTAACAATACACAGGAACCAAAGCCCCGTGGTCAATGGACCACTGAAGAAAAGAAAAGATTTCAGAATGACGTAAAAGCCCGGAATATCATTGCATCAGCGTTGACTGTTGATGAGTTCTACAGGGTCTCTGTCTGCAAAACTGCTCAAGAAATGTGGGACGTACTCAGAGTGACGCATGAAGGAACAGATGATGTAAAGAGGGCAAGGAAGAACTCCTTAATCCAAGAGTATGAAATGTTCCGGATGAAGCAAGGAGAAACAATTTCAGACGTTCAAAAACGCTTCACCAACATTGTCAATCATCTCATTGGACTGGGTAAGTCATTTGATACCGATGAACTTAACATTAAAATCTTGAAGTCTTTAGACAGGTCGTGGCAACCAAAGGTGACTGCAATCTCGGAGTCACAGAACCTCAACACCATGACTATGGCGGCACTCTTTGGAAAGTTGAGGGAACATGAACTAGATCTTGGAAGACTTGATGAAGAAGAAGCAAAAGCCAAAAACAACAAGAAGAGTTTGGCATTAAAGTCGGAGGTTGAAAGAAGCAAAGGTAAATCGGAAGATGAAGACTCAGACGAAGAAGAAAATTTGAGACTCATGATAAAAAGGCTCAACAGGTTCATGAAATCAAAAGACAAAGGAAGATTAAAATTCGAAAAGAAAGAAAATCAAGGATCTTCCTCACACTATAAATGTTATGGTTGCGGAGAAAGGGGGCACCTAAAAGCAGACTGCCCAAATCAAAAGAAGAGTGAAGACAAAAAGGAGAAAAGATTCTTCAAGAAAAAGAAGGCCTACATTGCATGGGAAGATGACAACGAAACAATTTCCGATTTGAGCGAATCTGATGAAGAAGCAAACATTTGTTTAGTGGTGAACGACGACGCTGGAAGCCAAGTAAGTACATCTAGCGATTCTGATAATTATAGTCAAATTAGTGAAGATGAATTGCATGAAACTTATGCTGCTTTAATAGTAGAATCTGAAAAATTAGATAAAGCTCATAAGAAATTGAAAAAGGATTTCAAAAATTTAAAATTAAATTTTGAAAATATTTCTGAAGAAAATAAAAATTTGAAATCAGACTTTGAAAATATTCTTGAAGAAAATAAAAATT